CACGGATAAAGGTTTTTGGCTATTCGGATAATGCGGATAACGAATTTCTAAGTGTGGGATAATTATTTTATGACATTTGAAAGGTTGGATAAACGTTTTGACTTATTCTGAGACCATTTAATATCAATTTTATACCGCGGATAACGTCATTTTTACTCGGATAACAAATTTTTTACCCTTGGATAATAATTTTGTGATATTTTATAGGTCAATTTGTTATTTGACATTATTTGAAGGTCCATTTCGGTAAATTTTATATCGCGGATAAAGTTTTTTTTCTTATTCGGATAATGCGGATAACAACATTACACAACTCGGATAATATTTATAATGTTTTTAAAGCACTGAGACATCATGGCTTAGTATTTTAGGCTATTTAGATAAAGTGTTTGCAAGTTTTCACTCCTCGGATAATGTGGATAAGGATTTTATGTCCTTCGGATAATGCGGATAAATTATTTTTTGCCCTCAGTTAATGTGTATAAAGTTTTTAAAGCATTTATACAACATGTACACCGAGCTTAGAATCTTTGTAAAACACGGATAACATTTTTCACTCTACGGATAATGTGGATAATGGTTTTATGACTTTCGGATAAAGTGGATAATTTTTTATACTATTCGGATAACATAAAAAATGTTTTTGGATATCATTTTAATGCGTTGAATAATTATTTATGGCCCACGGATAAGGGGGATAAAGTTTTTTTATTCGGTTAATGCGGATATTTTCATTTTTATAATTCGGATAAAATATTTTTGTTATACGAATTCAAAATTGATAGGGATAAATGTTCGGATAAAAATTTATAGTTCGAAAAAAAATTTGATTCGGATAATGCGGATATTTTCATTTTTATAATTCGGATAAAATATTTTTTTGTTATATGAATTCAAAATTGATAAGGATAAATGTTCGGATAAAAAAAAAATTGATAATTCGAAAAAATCAACTCCTAATTACTACTCATTTGTTTGTTATTCAGAAAAAATCCCCCCAAATCAAACCAAAAACAAAATTAGTTTCCCAGGCTTCGGAAAAAATTGTCCACTTTCTTGTAAGTCAACCATTTTCCCCTCCCTCCATTTACCTCACCCACACCTCTGCAAAAACGTTTGGAGATTAAATGTTATTGGAGGCTCAAATGGAAAGCCATGCATGCTTGGCCAGGTTAACTTGCTGCATGTGGTAAGCTAGGTATTTGTGGTATGTTGCTGATGATGTTACCGCCACCGCTGCAGTACTATTTTTGCAGTTGTTGTTGTTGTTGCTGTTGTGACTGTTATTTTATGCTTGCTTGCCTGCCTGGCTCGTTGCTGTTGATGAGGAAAACACGATAGCAATCAATTTTAAACGAAGATGAAGCAACCAACAACAACAACAAAACGAAAATTCAAACTCATGCCTCCTACTCCACCTTGTATACACATAATGTCAAGTCCAAACGTGGATGTGTGTATGGAAGGAAGACTAGCCAGCCAGGCTTGTGATGATGATGATGACGATCATCATGGAAAAATGATGACCAAACGGCAGATAAGAATTGTGGCCAACAATCTTTTAAGAATGCATAAAGTTTTCTCCCAAAAAAAAGCTACAACAAAAATTCACGTAAAAAATTCTAACGCATTCATAAAGCTGAGAAGCCTAAATGCAGTTTTTGGTGTTGTTGTTGTTGCTGCTTTGCTTCACGTGCAAAGCGGCTGGCTTGAAGTTGTGAGTGAGGCTTGATCAAAAGTTCCAAAGTGTTTGGAGGGGGCATTAAGGAGAATACCTTGGAACTCCTTGCCTTGTTGTGTGTGTGTGTGTCTTGTAATCTCAATGTCTAACACTAACTGTCTGCCAGATCTTGGGAATGAACATTTTTTCTAAGTGTGTGTGTGTGTGTTTGAGTAAGTGTGTAGTGTTTGTTTGTTCCATGCAAACAACCATCCCTTCCTGCCGCTGCTGCTGCTTCCTCATACTTCCTTTTTGGTGGCTATGACTATTTGTCTGGATTTTTTGTGTTTGCTTGCGATAGAACCTTAAGATGTTGTTGCCATAGCGAGAGATAATGTCTGTCTGTCTATCTTGCTTGGATTTTTTTTAACAACGTCTAGGTCTAGGGATACCTTTTGGCTGGTCGGTTTGTTGCGGCATAAATCGTATTGTGCCATTTAGCTGTACGTGTTCACTTTACGGCCTTTGACGTAATAAAATAGAAGCGAGAATCGAGTGAAAAAAATAAACGGCAGACGAATTATAATCTCTATTTATATTTGATGTGTGGCAGCAGCAACAGCAACAAACTAAAGGTTGACGGTCTGGACACCATGACCAGCATTCTATATATGAATTTTTTAGTGCTCCCATTCATGCATGAATGATGGATGAATTGTTTGGGAAAATTTTTGAGGCATAAAAAAATTAAGGGGGGAAATAGTACATTTCTATTAGAAATCAACACTGAAATCACTACAATTTTGGGGAAAAAAATTCACCTGGTGAAAAAAATTCCCGAAAGAGGATATTTTTTAGATATTTTTTTTTTTGTGGAAAAAAAAAATTTGTTTTCAATGGAAATTTGTATTCTGAGCCTATAGAAGTAAAAAGCAGAAAAAAAAAATAAATTTCCTTGAAAAATAAAAATTTCCCTTAAAGGGAAATTTTTGTTTAAACAATTTTTTCAAAAATTCTTTTTGTTTTGCATTCTTTATGAAAAACTAAGTTGAATGTGATCAAAAACTGAAAATTTCCCTTTTGGGAAATTTTAAGGGAAATTTTTGTTTTCATCGGAATATTATATTTCAAGCCTAAATAAGCAATATTCTGCAGAAAATTTTGTATTCTGTTGAAAAATAAAAATGTCCCTTAAAGGGAAATTTTTGTTTATACGAATTTTTCAAAAATTCTTTTTGTTTTGCATTTTTTATGAAAAATTAAGTTGAATGGAGTCAAAAAATTAAAATTTCCCTTTTGGGAAATTTTTAGGGAAATTTTTGTTCTCAAGGGAAATTTGTGTTTTAGAGCTAAATACATATAACACTGAAAGAATTTTTCAATTTACTTGAAAAATAAAAATTTCCCACGAAGGGAAATTTTTGTTTTTATGAAATTTTTGAAAATTGTTACATTTTCAGAATCTACATCAAAAATACATTTAAAATTAATAAAAAATTAAATTTTGTTTCTTTAGAAAACTTTAAAGGAAATTAATTTTTTATACAAAAATATCAATATTTCAATTAAGGGAAAAAATTCCCTATCCTCCTTTCCCTTCCCCAAAACCAAATTTTACTAATTACGTCTATGTTGTCAAAAAAAAACATTGTACTTGTCTAGCCCGATCGCTCTCTGCATGAGCCATGACTAGGCTTTGAAAATAATAATAAATGATTTGTTTTTTTCAAATCACCAAACATGATGTTATGTTTAAATGCAGATAGTAAGTAATATTGAAATTATATTTATGTTTTTTTCGTAGCCTTCATATCCCTCTAACATGCCTTATCTGACAGCCTACAATAACTGATGAAGATTTGGTTACTTTTTTGTTTTGAATTTCTATAAAATAAAGGTGTGTTGGCCAATATGGGATCCATGGCTCAATGACGCTGACGGTGATGATGATGACCATACAAAATTAAGTGATGTTGGCTAAAACGTTTAGAGAAAAAGCGTGCCAAACCGGCAGAGGAAGCGAGAGGAGGGAGACCTATCAAAATCCCATCAAAAGAAAAGATCAATAAAAAAATCGTATTTAAAATGTTTGTGATTTTGATTTTTTATTATCGGAAGGGAGGGTGGCGGAGAAAATGCAGTTGCTAGGCGATTAGCTTATAAGTAGTTATACGATAGCAACAAATTAATGATATGGCTATTTAAGTGGTCATAAAAATTTCAGAAGAGGAAAAAAATTAAAACGACAAAGTTGGCTTCCAAAAGAATTTAAAAAAAAAACGGACAAAAAATATTGTTCCTCAGGAATCTGGTGTGCCTAATTTTTAGCGCCTTTTAATGGAGAGAATTTTGTATGCAACAACTTATTTTCTTTGTTGTTGTTGTTTTAACAAAAAATATATATAAATCATTTTAAATCCAAAATCATACACATGTACACCAAACGTTTTGATGCTGCCCTTTTTCGTGAGGAGATTCCAACAGCCCAGAAAAAAAAATAAAACGCCTCTACTTTTGCCACCAGAGAAAAAAGTTGCAGGCGCTTGCATTCTTCCGAAAGGATTTATGGATTTTATTAAGCCACAAAAAAACAAATATTTACTCCCATTTTTTCCTGCTCTTGCCGAGAGGAGCTATTGAACCCTGGAGAGGGGATCAAAAAAATCTCAAAGGAGATTAAAAAATTATGGGAATTTTTTTAAAGGAAGGAAAATAATTACAACCCGTTCTGAGGGTCTCCTGAGGTGCGGGATCGCAAAACCACAAATATAATATTTATTTTTCCTCCCCACCACCCTCCTTTCCCTTCTAAAGGGAAATAACAGAATGTGAAGCAAAAACTTCTTCAAAGTCTTTGACAAAAATTTGAATTTTTCCTAAAGGGAAATGGTTTGGTCTTGAAGATATTATGAGTGATTCTCAAGCTCCAAGGCCTACTGAATTCGAATCTTCAAACAGATTTTCAATATATGTCACCATATTCGAGTTATACGATTTTTATTGAAATACATTTTTTTAACTTTTTGTATTTAAGGAAGTTTTGGTATTTGGGCCATGTCATGAGAACCATTAGAGATATTTTGAAAAATTAAAGCTCGTTTGAAATCTAATGGGTTTAGGAATTTTTAATGTAAAGACACCCATTACTTTAGTTATATCGTTTTGAAGATATGACTAAAAATTTAAAAGCGGTTTGGTAAATTTCCAATTGTTCATCGAAAAATCCAATAAGAAAAAAAACCCTAAAATTTTATTTTCTCTATTTTTTTAGTTTCTAATAACTAATTCCCATTTTCTTAACATTCTAAAAAATTTCAAAATTGAATTTTCAAACACTCACCTTCACATGTGAATTGACCATAATGCTTGCCCGAACTCTTATCACCACACACGACACATTCAATATTTTGTTTGGGATCGATTTGTGAACCGCTATTACTGCTTTGCGAATGTGAACTATTGGCCTGTGAACTGGGTGTTGTACTACCACCATTGCCGGCTTGATTGTGACCTCCATGACCACCAGCACCACTGCTGGCACCACCACCAACCAAACACTGTGACTGTGACGATTTCATCAATGAACTCATATCATGGCTGGTGTGTTGATTTGCCGACGCCGTTCCATGATGGACACCACTATTGCTAACCGTATTCATGGCGGATAGATCTTCTTTGATGGTATGGTGGGTGGCAGCAGCTGCGGCGGCGGCGGAGGCATTTTGTTGATGTTGATTTGCGTTTTGTTGATTTGTCGAAAGGGCGGATAGATCTTGTTTAATGCCCACCGATTGATGGCTGGTGACACTGGACGGTGTGGTACCACCGCCGGTACCCACTGAACCGGCCTGATTTGTCTGGGCACTGGCCAGTGAACCGGCGGGACCGGCGGATGCATGCAGATGACCGCCCAAATTTGGATCATGCCAGGCTGTGGGTGGTGGTACGCCCAGGGCCATGGATCGCGGCAGGCCCAGTTCAAAGGCGGATAGTTCGGCGCCCGATTGCGGTCTGTGATTGAAGAAACCCGGTGCGGTGGAGGGGGAGGCACACATAACGCCGCCACCATAGACACTCAATGAGTTGTGTGTAATCATTTTGGCGGACGTGGGCGTACAGGAGGAGCTGGCGGTGTTGTTGTTGTAAGTAGAATGCACTTTTGAGCGTTAATTGGCAAAAGCCGTTGTGACCACCGAAAGCGTATGGTGGGCTGGACAACGGTCTTTTTTATTGAGTTTGTAATAATTCCAAAAAATAAATAATTTTTAAAAAATATCCAATATTTTCGGTGAGATACACTTTTTTCACAAATCAAATTTTTTCTTTCAATTTCTTTTGATTCTTCTTTATTTTTAAATTTTATGAATTTTATTGGCTTTTATTTTTACATTGCTTTTTATTTTGGGCCAAACATAAAATCAATCTTGAAATCAAAACACTTTTGCTTTTGTGATTTTTCTTTTTTTATTTGCACTTTGGAAAATATTTTCTCTTTTTTTCGAAATATTTATTTTTTATTATTCTCTTTCTTGTATTTTCTTTAATATTTTATTTTTTTTGTAAATTATTTTCTTTTAATTTATTTAACTTTAAAAAATATATCTTCTTTTTTTCTTGTTGGCTTAGAATTTTTCTAAGTTCTTTTCTCTTGGTATATTTTTTGTGTGTTAAATTTTTCGTTTGTCAGAAAATGCGCGTCATGCGAGCAGCGAAAATCTCAGCTGTTTTCGTAAGGCCTCTTAGAGCCTGACTGACAAAACATTCGTGGCAAAAGGTACACGACCCGACCCGACTCGACCATTTCGACCTAACGACACATCACACAAATCTCTCTCATTCCACACAACCACCACCACCACAGCAGCAGCACCACTCAAATCCCACAGCAAAGGCACACACTGTTGTTGGGTTGTGTGTTGTTGTTGCTGCTGTATGGTTGCTTGGCGGCGCTCTGCATCCAATTCAATTGCAAAAACCACCCCATAATACGGTTATACTACTCTCTCTCACCAAAGAGAGTATGCTGTCTCTCTTGCACCAACAGCCACCATAGCGGGTTTACTGCTACTCATTGGCCTCTGTTGTCTCCAAGTGTTCGTGCGTGTGTGTGTTTGTATGGATTCTACGATTAGATGTTGCTGTTGGTGTGTGTGTTGGTTGGTTGGCTGAATGACTGGCTGGTTGGATGAATGAGTAGTGGCGGCGGGGCAAGACCTTAAAATGTGTTTTGTTTGCACTTTTGAGTCGAAACTCTTGTTGAAAAACAAACTAAAGCATTTCAGCAGATCTATCTGCTGGCACCACAATGTAACGGTGTGTGTGTATGTTTGCATATCTCTCCCCAACCTCAGAAAGAGAGCCAAAGAGGCTATCTTTGGCCAAGTGAGTGTAACTCAGTGTGTGTTTACTTTGCTATGTTGTACTCTGTGTGGTGTTGCTCAACCTGAACAGATACTTTGCTCTTTTTTGGCGGGTTGCTCTTATGTCTCGGGCCCCCTAACATTGATAGATTGCTTGGCATAACTCGTCGCCGTCTTCGTCTTCGTTGTTGTTGTTCTTACTTTTGCATATTTAACGAAAGAAAAAAAAAACTACTCATTTACTATACAATCGTCAGCAACCTCACCAGCACCCATGACTTTCTTATTAGTTATTTTCGTAATTTTTGTATTCCTTGGTTGGTTGGCTGGTTCATTCGCTCGTTCGTTGTTGTTCTTCTGTTGTTGATTAAGTCTAACTGGCAGTTAACTCTGCTATCTTAAAGTTTATAGTCAACGGCTGGAATAATTTTTTCTTATAGGAAAAAATTGTTTTTAACATTTTTTTGTTTAGTTAGCCATGGTGGGTTTTTTTTATCAAACTGTTATCTTTTTGCTGTTTGGTTGGCCGAATGGGATTCATGGTGTTGCTGTTGTTGCGGTGATAGCTTGAATTCCAACTTTAAATCCCACCCAAAAATTTTGTGTAACTGTAATTTAATCTAAAGAAGAGAAAAAAGATAACGGAACAAAAAATAAATAAAAATAAATATTCGTCGCCTTTTGTTGTGGGGTTGGCTAATTAAAATGCGTATTTTCAATTTGCCAGTGAATACAAAATGGATCATATACATGATTTGGCAGCCTTCCGAGACTTTTTAAGGTCCAAAAATAATTAAAGAGGTCCCAATATAAGCGTGGATTTATTAAACATTTTTAGGAAGTCCCAAAATAAGCGTGTATTTAAAAATAAGCGTGGATTAAAATAAGCATGGATCAAATAAAAATAAGCGTGGATTAAAATAAGCGTGGATTAAAAAAATTAGAGGATCCAAAATAGGCGTGGATTTAAAAAAATAGAGAATCCAAAATAAGTGTGGCTTTTTTAAAAAGTATATACAGTTCTCCCAAAAAAATTTGGATTTATACAATTATTTTTGGGCAACTTAAAGTAGTCTTGGATTTTTTAAAAATATTTCTTTGTGGTACTACAATAGGCCTGGATTTTTTAAAATATTTTTAAAAATATTTTTTGAGGTATACCGAAGGCTTGGATTTTTATACCCTTCACCACACTGTGATACATTATGTCTTTGTGCATATGTTTGTACTGGATTGGGTCTAGAATGATGTGCGTAAAATTGCTTGAAAATCGGTTCAGATCTAGATATAGCTCCCATATACATGTTCGCCAGATTTTAGTTAAATTGTGCACCAAAGTCCCTGAAAATCATTCGATTTGCACGAATTTTTGTCATTTTATGCTATGTTTCGCGAAAATCGATTCAGATCCAGATATAGCTCCCATATATATTTTCGCCCGATTTTAGGTAAATAGTGCACCTAATTCCCTACATATCCTTCGATTTGCACGAAATTTGGCATAGCATACTGAATTTAAAATAGAATGATGTATGTTAAGATTCGCGAAAATCGGTTCAGATTTAGATATAGCTCTCATATATATTTTCGTCCGATTTAGGGTAAATTGTGTACCAAAGTCCCTATATCTGTTTTGATTTGCAAGAAATTTGGAATAGCGTTCTGAAATGAGTTTGGAATGATGTGTGCAAAGTTTCATGAAAATTGGTTCAGATTTAGATATAGCTCCTATATATATTTTCGTCCGATTTAAGGTAAACGGTGTACCAAAGTCACTATATATCTTTCGATTTGCACGAAATTTGGCACAGCGTAATGAATAAGGTCTAGAATGATGTGTGTAAAAGTTCTTGAAATGCGGTTTATATTTGGATATAGATCCCATATATATTTTCGGGCCGATTTAATGTAAATGGTTCACCAAAGTCCTTATATATCCTTCGATTTCCATGAAATTTTGCATGGGGTACTGAATTAAGTCTAGAATGACGTGTGCTAAGATTCGTGAATATCGGTTCAGATTTAGATATAGCTCTCTTATATATTTTCGGCCGATTTAGGTAAGTGGTGCACCAAAGTCTCTATATATATTTCGATTTGCACGAAATTTTGCATGGGATACTGAATTAGGTCTAAAAAGATGTGTATTAAGTTTCAGCTCAGATTTAGACATAGTTCCTATATATATATTTTCATCCGAGTTTATGTAAATTGTGCACTGAGAAGCCAAAGTTTTTTTCCGATTGGCACACAATTTTGTACAATGAACTGTAGTTAATATAAATTGATTTCTGCCAAGTCTCGTTGAAATCGGTTTAGATTTAGATATAGCTTCTATATGTATATTTTCGACCGATTTTACACAAGATTTTGCACAACGTACTGAAGTTAGTATAACTTAAAAGTTATAAACTCTGCACCAAACTCCCCAGGTGGGTCCGTTTGGCACAAAATTTTGCACAACGTAATAACATAACGTGCGGCAAGTTTTGTTGAAATCGGTTCAGATTTAGATATAGCGTGCGTTTTTTACTAAAAGGTGGACAAAATACCCAAAGGCTGTTTGGTACCAAATTGTGCACAACGTACTGAAGTTAGTATTGTCTAAAGTTTGCCAAGTTTTGTTGAAATCGGTTCCGATTTAGATATAGCTTCCATATATAGTTTCATACGATTTTACGTAAATGGTACAGCAAGTTAGGTCTATTGACACAAAATTTTGCACAACGTACTTATGTTAATATAGCATGTGGAAAGTTTTGTTGAAATCGGTTCAAATATGGATAGAGCTACCATATACATTTTCTCCCGACATATATTCGATCCCGTCCGACTTTACTACTATCCTTATAAGTTAAAATATAATTTTTTATATTTGTTTTTAATTTTCTCCCCAATTAACAATGTCAAGAAATTTATTTTGATATTAGATTTGTCTTATGAAAGGTTTTCTTTGTTCACAGATTTAACTGCATTCTTGCCTGTCTGGCCAAATACACCTGCCGCAGTGTGCATAAATTTATATTGTTGTTTTTACCTACATATGTTTATAAATATTTGAAATATATATTAAATATTTATCATTTCATCTTCATCCTTGTGTTTAATTAATAAAAAACACATTTTTAATGTACACATAAAAGTAGACTAAAATTGTTTTTTTTTTCTCTATTACCTGTATGTTGATAATGCATTTTGTTAATTAAATTTAATATGATCATACGTTATTTTTAGAACGCCATTTAATACGAAAATGTTTTCTGAAATGAGAAGACAAAAACTTATATTTAAAAGATATAAAAGAATATATTCCAGACAAATAAAGATTTTTAAAAGAAAAATGCATTTCAATATATCATTTTTAAGTAGAACTAATAATTTCTTATAAATAAATGTTATAAAATGATTTGCAAATATTAATAAAGCCAATAAAACTAACTAAGTCATTAAATGTAATTTTAATTACACACTTCTTTGACCATTTGTAAATGATTAGTATGTGGCTCTATATTGCAGTAACCCTTTGAACTTATTTACGCAATTATTGTAAGAAAATTAACGCCACCGGGCCAGTTTCGGAATAGAATGATATTAGCAATTATCAAGTCATTTAAATCACTCACTCACCGAACATGTTTGTTAACATAGGGTAAAATAAAAAATAAAATTAAATATCATATAGAAATTTAGAAAAATAATTGTAGATTTCGACATATCATTTGCATTCCAATTGCTGAATTATACACATCAACATTATAATTATTATTGAGAAAAGTTTAGATTCGTTCCGCAAAATTTTACGCTGTATTATG